GTTTTAAACTTTGAACACTTTGCAAAATTTTATCTTATGATTCTTTGATAACTGAAACCTAGCAGGTGGAAAATATTTCAAAAGTCATCATTAAAAATAACTACAAGCAAATAACTTAAATGAAAAAAAAAGCTTGATATCGCTTTGTTATGAACACACGATAGTTTTGTAGCAACTTTTATTTTCTATAATTGGGTTATGGATTTTAATACACAACAGAGAAATAAATGCTTTTTTGTAGGTGTTTAATTATCGAAGGTGGTAGATTTAATCGCTAAAGCAGTTTTTCTTTGTCTTGAACCATTATTCAGTATTTGCAGGCCAATATTTCCAATACACTTCGAAGAGATGTGATCCGATTTTTCTGGTTTCTTTGACTGCAATGTGTTGATATAAAAATGGAATGTGATCAACACCTTATAGAATGGAATTTTCTACAAAACACCTCGATTTTTCTAACTTTCACCAATTTATAATTGATTTCATTAAATCAATATCTGATGGCAAATTGTATTTTCTTTTGTTCTTAAGTCTTTACTCAAAATGACAGGCCAATATTTTCGCATAATTCGTCATGATTTAGAGTCAGTTATTACTTTTATGTGAGATGCATTGATATGTAAAACAATTGATATATGTTTATTACCTGCACACTTCTGTTATGAGAACAACTCTTAATAAAAATGATTTGCACAATTCCAACAGTACAATTATCAATTAACATGCATGCAAATTAGCAAACAGAAAATATGTTTTCACCTCTAAGGTCATCTACAGTGAATTATCGACATTTCGAAAATGTTTCCATAGTTTGACATGCTGTGGTAAATTTACATTCGGACTATTCAGCTTTGTTGTTATCACAACGTTTCGGCAGTTGTTCCCTCAGGCTTTCACCAGGTGCGTGTTGATCAGAGTAACTTTCAGGGATTTTTCGAACTGAACCCTTTATATTCGGGGTAGATTGTTCTCATACCACCGTCTATATACGTCTTTGAGCCTTAAAGCTAATCTTCCAGCTGCTGTCATTGTTGCTTCTGCTTGACTGCATTCAACGGGGCTTCTCTTTTCTTAATGCTTCAGCTGTTGTTGTTGAAGCCTTGCTGTTATTTCATTTTAATAGTTATTAACTGTTACCATATTGAATTTATTTATATGCTAGGCCTACTAAGGTTGCCGCATAAATACTTGTAGTTGATTCGTGAATTTGGTGACATAGTAAATGTGAGTTCAATCCCTATTTTGGCTAGTGCTGAGTTAGTACTATATAGAAACAAGATGAGATTTCACTATCTTTGGACAGTGGAACGTGAACACTATCCGTGTAGAATAAATAAAGGTTTCAGTTCGAAATTTCTTAAAGGTTACACGGATTGACGAGCCCTTGATGAAGGCCGAAGGACACAACGGCCGAAACGTTTTGATAACAATAACGAATATGAGTACAATAGTCCGAATGTAACCCACAAAAATTCAGACATCAACAATTGTTGTTTTTAACACATTCATTTCTTCAAGAAAGCCTTGCTTATTTTTGTTAATGATTTTGGTTTCTTTAAAATTTGGTTTTCGTTTAGTCACAAGCATTTAGCAAATTATTTCGTAGGAAAAATAATGTTTGAGAATTCAAACAGGAATAAAGGAATAAACGTAGAAGAAAAAATACTTAAAAAATGAATCTTTTCCGAAAAAAAAAAACAGATACTTGTAAAATTTGAACGAAAAGATCTGTCAGTTTTTACGATATTAGTATATTATTTGAAATATATTTGAAAAATCGTTAAACTTCAATTTGTGTTAGTTGTACGTTGATATACAATTAAAAGTGTAGTTTAATGAATCAACGGAATTATTTTACATAAGAAATATTTATCTTCAGTATAATATACTTCTTGGTTAACAGAATTAAATCACTAATGATTATTAATTAAATAAACTTATAGTATGAAAAATTCAGATAAAAATCTTCTGTGACATAGACTTATTGATTCACTTTGATATCGGCAAAATGGCAAATCGTTTTCATTTGTATCATAATCCCAAAGGAATTGCTTATATGTTTGTTTTCTGTGCCTCAGGGGACAAGCGTTTTGTATTGCAAGTCTCTATCATAATTCAGACTCATACATTTGACTATCAAATATTTCATACGAGGATAAATTGTCACCGAGAGAAGAGCTGATATACGCCCAATATAAAGAGTTTCAGAAATTAATTTCAAAATTACTGTTTATGGGAATCCTAATTTTCTTATCGATCATTTTGTCTTAGTGTGAGTCAGATTATTTTAGAATTTCTTTAGTTTATATTATAGACTAATCTCCTGAAAAGAACGAGTATTTTTGAAACTTTGGAAATAATTCACAAAAAGCTTGTCTTTTAAAATGAGGACAATTTATAAAATTATTCATTTTCTACATTAAACATTTTTATTTTCTAACAAAATTCTCAAAATTATGAACTTTTAAGATGTTTTGATTTCGACTGCGTGCTTAGACTTTGTTGATTTTGCTAATTAGATAATGAGATCGATAAACAATCGGCTGTTTATCATCTTCGTATCTTGATGTGTTATTCCTTTTTTCAGTCTTTTTTCGGCAAGTTCGTGTTTACGAAATAATATGGCCCGGCAACAATATGATTATGGCTGATATAAAGATGACTGCTTTCAATTGCTTCTTTCTTTAGAAAGCAAAAGCCTAATTTTGCATAGGCTACGAGGAGATTGCCCAGTAAGAACTCACCAGAAGAAAATTCCATTGTCCAATGTTTCTTTTTTTCTAATTGGACATTCTAGTTTCTAAGTCTAATTGCAGACACTCAGAAAATACATATTTCTCAACACTTTGTCAGGTAATCAACACTACGCTCTTTTAAATAAGACCTCGAAGTTTTCTTTGATGAACAGTTATAATTGAAGCCCAAGTTTGCGTCTTTTCTCATCATCAAGGCCTTCTCTCAATGTCAAGGAAATCTTACCGTGGCCTATTATGTTTTATTACTACCTATATCACGTCATTTTCAGAATCAGAGAAGTGTTTCATAGAAATGTATTTCGGTGTTACGCTTTATACAAAGCGGCAAAAGATGAGTATCAAGCGGCAAAGATAAGAGGCCGAACGTTGTCGGCTGTTGAATGGGTTTCATATTTCCTGCTTTAGACATATTAAACAATTGACGTTCTCTCATATTTGTCATGATAAATAGATACGTCTTTATCTTCTTTCGTTTTTACTTTCTCGATAATTGGAACTCTTTCTTCAGCAACCTGTTTGTGTGCAACGGATACAGAATAAAGAGAGACATATGTAAACTATAGAGAAAAATGGGGGGGGGGCAAGGAGAAATGAAAAGAGGCGAACTGGAAAAGAAAACAGAAGAAATAAGTGAGAAAAAAACTATCCGAAAAGAACGACCAAAGAAAAACTCAAAAGAAATAGAAATAAAAGAAGAAGAAAAAAGGAAAAAAGATGACGAAGTAGAGGAAAAGAAGAAAAAAAAAACAACGATGATGAAATCAAATAAAAATTTATGAAAAGAACAAAGAAAAAAAAAGGAAAGAATAAATTCCATTGAAAGAGTAGAAAAGAATTGGGAGATTATTTTGAATAATGACAAATGATTAGACATTGGCTGAAAAAAGACTGACAAAGAAATAAGACAGAAGTGAAAAAAAAAGTGAAAGAATAAAGTAAAAGAGTGAAGGGAAAAGGAAAATAAAAGAATGAGACGAAGAAAAAGCGAATTGGGAAACAAAATAGTAAAATAATGAAATGATAAGAGGAAGTGAAAAGGGAAAATGAAACAAAGAAAGAAAAGAAGCGAAATAAAGAAGTAGAATGATGAATTGAAAAAATAAAGTCTAACTAACAGTGACCTCATCCCACAATCCTTACTTTTACTCCAGATGCAGCCTAATTTGCAAATCACTGAATCAAGTTGTTTAAGTTGTCAGATCCTCATATGCCGAAACCGACGGAAGAGTCCATCATATATATATATATATATATATATATATATATATATATATATATATAAATACAGGGAGAAAATTAAGCAAGAATATTGAGAAAAAGGAAACGATGAAGAAACCTAATTAAAAGGATGATATTAAAAAGAAGAAAATGAATAAAAACGATCAAAAACATGAATAAAAATTGAAATGAAAAATTCGAGTGCCGAGTCCATCTTTGGTTCGTGGGTATCGAAATTTCTATGTGTTTGACTAAATATATTTTTCTCTGTCTTCCCGGATCAGCTGATTCGTTTGAGTAAGTGAAACACCCAAATTAATCTCTGCATCCGAAGGCGTTAATTAGTGGACGGGCAAGACTACTACGTGTCTATTATGTGGCGTGCTGAAAGAGGCGATTGTCATTCTGTTGTACTGACAGGCTTCAATGAGTGACGCTCCTTCACGACACAAGACGACATCTAAGAAATACGACAGATAGTATTAACTTTATGGAAGTAAGGAAAGTAATAGTATTGACAAATTAAATTTGGTTGATGGTTATAGCATTTGAATAACAGTCGAAATTTCTATTTCATTTCAAGAGCTATAAATGATGTTTTTTGAACACAGAAAAGGTATAATTTTGAATTAAAGATAAAGTTGGTTTATATAGCCAACAAGCTAATCACGTTGAAATTTTACTTTGCCCCGTTGTATAAATATAGAACTATTTATTTAAAAATTCTTGAATACAATTTCATGTTCTTTTCGTATTTGTTTCTCTCCTGAACACACAACTTTTTATTCTTCTAAATTTTTGTTTTTATACTTAATCTGTTTTGATCTATTTTTCCTAGAGTGTCTTTGTATTTCTGAGTATGTTTCTTGTTCCCAATATCTTATCTTTTCTTTTCTACAGTATTTTTCATATTTGTCTTAATTTTTTTTATTGCTGCCTTCCGGATATGTTCATCATTTCTTTCGGGAAAAATCCTTCCAAGACAATCCATTTGTATTGATAATTTTTCTTATTCTGTAATCTTTGATGTTCTTTCTTTGTGGCGTTAAATTCCTTCCTTTTTCTAGTATATTCATTTTATGTCTATTTTAGTCTTTCTCTTAAAAGAATCCATCAACCACTTTAATTCATTTATCTATTTTAAGAGATTTCATGCATAAGGTTCTCAAAAAAGAGAGGTTCAGGACCCACATTAAGCAACATTGCAGTAATAGTTTTCAAGATCTAATTTTCTTACGAATAGAGTAACTATGGCAGCAGCCCCGACAAACTGGGATAGAAGGATACAAGAGGATAAAAAACTCAGAAAATAGCTTCTGTTTGTCTACTCTATGTGTAGGGATTATTGGAGAAAATATAAAAGAACTGTGGCCCATATAACATCAGGATGACCTCCAAATATGGTTCGATACTTCGCAGACGCCTCTTCCGAGTAAGACCGCCCTAGAGGATAACATGACTGTGTACGCCATCCCGTGAATTTATGGTAAGAAATATAAAGGAGAAATAGGCCACCCACTTAAGGTAAGACTGCAAGAACACCATAAAGCCGTAACACGAGGAGAAATAGAAAATCAGGCCTAGTTGACCACATATGGAGAGAAAAGGGAGATCACTGACTCCTGTTGGTGAGGTTGAAATAATAGAGAACATCATTGGAAAATACAGAAACTTAAGGAATCAGCACATATGCCAGGTAACAAAAATCTCCTAAGCTGACCAAGCATAGAAATGAATACAATATGGGAATCAGTAAAACATAATGATAGAGAAAAGCAATAATAACCAAACTGCAATATGAGCTCTGGTAAAAAATAGTTACTGATACATTAAGCTTATAAGTCCCAAAAATTCATACACTTATGACCTCAAGGATACATTACCCAGTGGATAAAAGCTTTGGTTGAAACTAGTGAGTTCAATACCTGGCTAATGCAGTGGTGAACAAAATCTTGGAGAGTTGAGTTAAAGAGAGATAACTGAGATATCCAGAAGAGGCATGGCATGTGGAACTATAACAATCTACCCCGGTAAACAAAATAAAGGGTTCTGTTTGAAATTTTAATCAACTGAATAGAGCCGGAGTATACCATGACTAAAACGACGTGAATATGGCAAAAAAGATTAGGAAAACAGTTCGAACAATGATAATATATATATATATATATATATATATATATATATATATATATATATATATGTGTGTGTGTGTGTGTGTGTGTGTGTGTGTGTATATAAAACACACTCACTGATTATGGCATTCAACAATTTAAACGATATAAATTGAAGAGTTAAGGTTTTGATATTTATCCTATATACAAACATTAGATATAGCATATTGTAAAGAATGCAAGGGGTGCAAATAAACTTTCTAAACTTATTCGTTGCAACTGATGATTTTTTATAATGACCAATGCTAATACCTGTTACATTATCCAGTTAATAGGTGCTGTATTCTTCGTAAAATGTTGTTTTTTCAGCCAAGAGTTGTCAGCATTTCAGTGCAATTATGGTATGTTCATGAATCATCTGTAATTAATTGTCTCTGAGAATCTCTCACGAGAGGAAAAATTGATCTGTGTTTGGCCAGGAGTAAAATTCTCTCGCCAATGAACACTCTTTTACGGTCATTTTTTTCTTGAAACTAAACTCTACATACTAAGAATTTACTTATTTATTTATAGAAGAAATGAGATCATTTGCTGGTGGAAAGATTTATTTCCGTGAAATTGTTTGAATAAGCCAAGTGACGACTTCTTCCTACAAATGATAAAAGAGCAGAAAAAGATTTTTAGTTTTGAAGTTCTAAAGACATTTTTAAATATTTTTTCGGGACAGAAATTAAAATGAAAAAAAGTAATTCGATTTTAAAACATAAAATAAATTGTTATTTCAATTTTCTCTTTCAAACTGAAATGGACTCAAGGGAAATTAATTTTCTATAACAAACGCCTTCTTTGCGTCGGTCATTCAAGTTTATTAAATTCTTTGCTATTCATTTTCATTTTCCTCGTTTCAGTACAAACGTGTTTCAGTCTTTTCGAATATCTTATTCAATTTTTTATTTCCGTTTTCATTAGTTTTGCTTTCCACCTTATACGTTTATTCCTTCTTTATTCTCTTCTTTTGATTGTTTCCTTTTCTTTTTTCGTCTTCATTTCTTTATTAACTTATTTTGATTTTCTTTTCTTTTTTCGTCTTAATTTCTTCATTTGCTTTTTTGTTTTCTTTAATTTTTCTTCTTCATTTCTTTATTCGCTTCTTTTGATTGTTTTCTTTACTTTTTCGTTTTCATTTCTTTATTCGCTTGTTTTCATTGTTTTCTTTTCTTTTTTCATCTACATTTCTTCATTCACTTTTTTTGATTTTCTTTTCTTTTTCCTTTTAATTTCTTTGTTTTCTTCTTTTGATTTTTTTCTTTTCTTATTTCATCTTCATTTCTTTATTCGCTTCTTTTGCTTGTTTTCTTTTCTTTTGTCGTCTTTATTTCTTTTTTCTCTTCTTTTGTTTGTTTTCTTTTCTTTTTTCGTCTTCATTTCTTTATTCTCTTCTTTTGATTGTTTTCTTTTCTTTTTTCGTCCTTATTTCTTTATTCTGTTCTTTTGAATGTTTTCTTTTTTCCTCTTCATTTCTTTAGTTTCTATTTTTGTTTGTTTTTTTTCTTTTTTCGTCTTTATTTCTTTATTCTCCTTTTTTCATTGTTTTTTCTTTTTTCGTCTTCATTACTTTATTCTCTTCTTTTCATTGTTTTCTTTTCTTTTTTCGTCCTCATTTCTTTATTCGCTTCTTTTTGACTGTTTTCTTTTCTTTTTAATCTTCATTTCTTCATTCGCTTCTTTTCATTGTTTTCTTTTCTTTTTTCGTCTTTATTTCTTTATTCGCTTCTTTTGAATGTTTTGTTTTCTTTTTGCGTCTTCATTTCTTTATTCTCTTCTTTTTGACTGTTTTCTTTTCTTTTTTTCGTCTTCATTTCTTTATTCGCTTTTTTTGATTCTTTTCTTTTCTTTCTTTCGTCTTCATTTCTTTATTCTCTTCTTTTGATTGTTTTCTTTTCTTTTTTCGTCTTTATTTCTTTATTCTGTTCTTTTGAATGTTTTCTTTTTTCGTCTTCATTTCTTTAGTTTCTATTTTTGTTTGTTTTTTTTCTTTTTTCGTCTTCATTTCTTTATTCTCTTTTTTTCATTCTTTTTTTCTTTTTTCGTCTTTATTTCTTTATTCTGTTCTTTTGAATGTTTTCTTTTTTCGTCTTCATTTCTTTAGTTTCTATTTTTGTTTGTTTTTTTTCTTTTTTCGTCTTCTTTTCTTTATTCTCTTCTTTTGCGTGTTTTCTTTTCTTTTTTCGTCTCATATCTTTATACTCTTTTTTTGTTTGTTTCTTTTCTTTTTTCGTCTTCGTTTCTTTATTCTCTTCATTTGATTTTCTTTTTTTCCGTCTTCATTTCTTTATTCACTTCTTTTGCTTGTTTTCTTTTCTTTTTTCGTATTCGTGTCTTTATTCGTTTCTTTTGATTGTTTTCTAATTTTATCTTCATTTTTTATTATCTTCTTTTGAAAGTTTTCTTTTCTTTTTTCGTCTACATATCTTTATTCGATTCTTTTGATTGTTTACTTTTCATTTTTCGTATTCGTGTTTTTATTTGCTTCTTTTAAATGTTTTCTTTTCTTTTTTCGTTTTCATTTCTTTATTGTCTTCTTTTCATTGGTTTCTTTTCTTTTTTCTTCCTCATTTCTTTATTCGCTTCTCTTGATTGTTTTCTTTTCTTTTTCGTCTTCATTTTTTATTATATTCTTTTAATTGTTTTCTTTTCTAATTTCGTCTTCCTTTTTTCATTCTGTTCTAATTGTTTTCTTTACTTTTTTCGTCTTCATTCCATTATTCGCTTCTTTTGATTGTTTTGTTTTCTTTTTTGTCTTCATTTCTTTATTATCTTCTTTTGATTCTTTTCTTTTTTTGTCGTCTTCATTTTTTTATTCTCTCCTTTTGATTGTTTACTTTTTTGTTTTCATTTCTTTATTCGCTTCTTTTGTTTGTTTTCTGTTCTTTTTTCTTCTTCATTTCTTTATTCGCTTTTTTTGATTGTTTTCTTTTCTTATTTCATCTTCATTTCTTTATTCGGTTCTTTTGATTGTTTTCTTTTCTTTTTTCGTCTTGATTTATTTATTAGCTTCTTTTGATTATTTTCTTTTCTTTATTCGTCTTCATTTCTTTATTCGCTTCTTTTGATTATTTTCTTTCCTTTTTTCATCTTCATTTCTTTATTCTCTTCTTTTGATTGTTTTCTTTTCTTTTTCGTCTTAATTTCTTTATTCGCTGCTTTTGCTTGTTTTCTTTTCTTTTTTCGTATTCGTGTCTTCATTCTTTTCTTTTGATTGTGTTCTTTACTTTTTTCGTCGTTATTTCTTAAATATCTTCTTTTGAATGTTTTCTTTTCTATTTTTTTTTTCATTTCATTATTCGCTTCTTATGAGTGTTTTCTTTTCTTTTTTCGTCCTCATTTCTTTATTTTATTTTTTTGATTGTTTTCTTTTTTCGTTTCCATTTTTTATTATCTTTTTTCGACTGTTTTCTTTTCTTTTTTCATCTTCATTTCATTATTATCCTTTTTGAATGTTTTCTTTTCTTTTGTCGTTTTCATTTCTTTATTCTCTTCTTTCCATTGGTTTCTTTTCATTTTTGTCTGCATTTCTTTATTCGCTTCTTTTGTTTGTTTTCTGTTCTTTTTTAGTCTTCATGTCTTTAATCCCTTCTTTTGATTGTTTTCGTTTGTTTTTTCGTCTTCATTTCTTTATTCACTTTTTTTTGTTTGTTTTCTTTTCTTTTTTCGTCTTCATTTTTTATTATCTTCTTTTGATTGTTTTCTTTTCTTTTTTCTTCTTCAATTCTTTATTCGCATTTTTGATTGTTTTCTTTTCTTTTTTCGTTTTCGTTTCTTTATTATTTTCTTTGGATTCTTTTCTTTTCTTTTTTCTTCTTCATTTCTTTATTCTCTTCTTTTGATTGTTTTATTTCCTTTTTTGTCTTCATGTCTTTATTATCTTCTTTTCACTGTTTTCTTTTTTTCCTCTTCATTTCTTTATTCACTTCTTTTGATTGTTTTCTGTTCTTTTTTCGTCTTCATTTCTTTATTATCTCCTTTTGTTTATTTTCTTTTCTTTTTACGTCTTCATTTCTTTATTCACTTCTTTTGTTTTCTCTTTCTTTTTTTGTTTTGATCACTTTTTACATTCTTTTGTTTGTTTTCTGTTCTTTTTTCTTTTTCATTTCTTTATTATCTTCTATGTATTGTTTTCTTTTTTTTCGTCTTGATTTCTTTATTCGCTTTTCTTGATTGCTTTCTCTTCTTTTTTCGTTTTAATTTCTTTATAATCTTTTGATTTTTTCTTTTCTTTTTTCGTCTTCATTTTTTTATTCGCTTCTTTTGATTGTTTTCCTTCCTTTTTCATCTTCATTTCTTTATTCGCTTGTTTTCATTGTTTTCTTTTCTTCTTTCTTCTTCATTTCTTTATTCGCTTCTTTTGATGATTTACTTTTCTTTTTTAGTCTTCATTTCTTTATTCGCTTCTTTTCATTGTTTTCTTTTCTTTTTTCATGTACATTTCTTCATTCACTTTTTTTGATTGTTTTCTTTTCTTTTTCCTTTTAATTTCTTTATTTTCTTCTTTTGATTGTTTTCTTTTCTTTTTTCATCTTCATTTCTTTATTCGCTTCTTTTGCTTGTTTTCTTTTCTTTTGTCGTCTTCATTTCTTTTTTCTCTTCTTTTGTTTGTTTTCTTTTCTTTTCCGTCTTCATTTCCTTATTCGCTTTTTTCTATTGTTTTCTTTTCGTTTTTCGTCTTCATTTCTTTTTTCGCTTCTTTTGATTGTTTTCTTTTCGTTTTTCGTCTTCATTTCTGTTGTGAGACCTACAACATGGACACTTCTAGGACTATATAAAGTATGCGATATAATTATCTAGTAGAAGAGGTGGAAAGTGAAAGAGAGAGAGAGAGAGAGAGAGTATTCTAATACCGTAGTATCAACCGCGTACGACTACCAATATTGGACACTGGCACATAGTAAGCTCTGCTTACACTTACACTATCTTTGTAACCTTTTTGTTTAATATATCTTTCTTACCTCGAATCCGTGTTCCGTGTTTTCTCTCCCTGGCCCAACTTTCGGCCCACATCAAGTGGCGACGAAGAATTCGAGAAACACATTCACGACGTTAACCTCAATATCTTACCGGTCCCACATCGGTGGCGACAGAAAGATTCGACAATTTCTTTCTCACCATATCAATAGCGACAGAGTACTCGAAAAATACACAGAAACTCCACGCGTTCCCACAGCAGTGTTGAACGAGAAATTAAGCTGGTATTACTACATCAGCGATTTAAACGCAACACCCAGCGTCTACATATAAAAAAAAAATATTCCGATACCAAATATCAGTGACAAAATAGCGATTCGACATCTACGGAATATTAAAGTCTTTCCAAATAACATAACGAGAACGATTTCTTACCCACCCACACACAGAAAAAAAAACAGTTTGTTCATAAAGCAAACTGACAACACAAGAGCCAAAGTACTACTTACGACTCTAGTTTTCGAAAAAAAAAAACTATCTAAAAATTTTTTTTTAGGTAACTGAGTTGAATCTCGTGCATAAAATTATACTACCCTCAAATTCACTGAGGCGAGTTTTCTCTTCTTTTTACCTCTACGAAAAAAAAAACATAATATGTGTGGTGAAAATTTATACAATTACGTTAAAATTAACGGAACCACGGAATCTCGAAAAACCTAAACACATAATTAGTTTAATTTAACTAATTGTCTGTCCATATTTTTTGTTGTAAAAAAAATCTATCAAGATTTTTTTGTGTACCTCCCTTTGGTACACGGGTTTCAAAGCAACAAAAAATCACTGTCATTTTGTTTGTCTAAATATGGAAGATTTTCAAAAAGTAATCGTCCAAATGCTAAAAGTACATTTGGATGAGCAACAAAAGTCAGAAGACAACAACAACTATTTTTGGAATTACATAAACAACAAATGGAATTCCAACAAATTACGCTTCAGAATGCTGAACTACAACAGAAACAACTTAAAGAATTACTCGTAAATGCATTAAAAGGCTCAAACTCTAAAAAAAGATAAAATATTATCCCAGAGTACAATCTACAATTCAATGGAAACGTTTGAATACGTACCAGAGAACAACAAAACGTTCGAGGCTTTTTACAGGCGCTACGAAGTTATTTTCAACGTAGACTGTGAACAATGGCCCAGTAAAAAAAAAGTACGTCTACTATTGAGAAAACTGAGAACTACAGAACATAGTAGGTTCGTAGACTTCATACTACCCAAGAAAACCACAGACTTGGATTTTTCAGAGACTATTAAGCTCCTATCGGAACTATTCGGGCCTAACACAACCTTGTTCCACAAACGTTGGAAATGCCTGAACACAGTCAAAGACAACCAGCAAGATTTTCTAACGTTTGCAGCATCGGTAAACAAGCTCTGTAATGATTTTAAACTAGCCGAACTGACTGCCGATGATTTCAAGTGCTTAATTTTCGCACAAGTTCTAGTATCAGCAGAAGACGCCGAAGTCAGACGACGGGTACTGACCAAGCTTGAGAACGAACAAGGATTGACATTCCAAAAACTGGCAGAGGACTGTCAAATAGTAATATCTGTAAAGTGTGACTCAAACACTCTCGAGGAATCAGGTGTGGCTCAGATTAATAAAATCAGAAACAAGTCTACCTCCTATTCCCCTCCAAAAGACAAAAGGCAAATCTCATGTCCTAAATTCCGCAGTAACCAAAACCCAAATAGGTTAAAAGAAACTGCCCGGACCATGTTACCATTGTGGTAAATGGCATTGGATGAAAT